ATGTTTCAAAGATGCACCTTCAATTTTACTTCTCTATAAAAAACAACCCTCTGATTTCTTCTCTTTCCAACATTCCTTTGTTGAATCTTATTCTTTAAATTTTGGTCCAACTTTTTCCCATGCTTATTGAGTTAGTCCACCACATAAAAGATTGATTAAATAATCCAAAATCATCCTCATCCACTGATCCAAGTCACGTTTCGATGCAAAATACCTGTCAAAACCCAACAAAAACCACAAAACCCCAAAGTAATATCCCCAACGATGGTTATACAAAAATTAACTAAAAATCAAATAAAAATTATATACAAACGACTAAACACGAGAAAAATGCAATAATAGACTATTATAATGCACCCACAAAATGCACTTAACATCATCTTTCTAGATGACAAAGAAACAATGACTTCTGAACATATCAGAACTTGGGCTAAATTCATTAACTTCTAGTCAATGTATATTAGAACTCGTATACAATTATGAAACTTCTAACTCCTCATGTCAAAGCCCCAGAGGCTTTGAATTTGAATTTATTTTTGAGAATTTGATTGGTGAAAACACAAAACCTTCTAAACAAGATGATTCGTAAATCAATCAACTCAGAAGTTCTGAAATTGTTTCTGAACCCATTTCAGAGGATTCACACATTGATAATCATTTATGAGTTGAACAAGTCATTATTGACATTGAAAAGTTCATACATTTCTTTTCTAGTGTTACAATGTTTAATTGACTTGAACAAGTCATTATTGACAAACATAGTAAGAATGTTCATGGCTTTGTCATCCAACAAACTTTTTAAGATTATCTGCAGTAAAGTCATTTTTTGCTCTTATTTCTTATCGGTCTTGGATAGCTTTCAACATCTGGTAGACCTCTAATGAAGTTCATAGGAACATAAGGTCCTTCTAAGCAAGTAATGAGAATAAGTTTATCTATATTATTTATAAAACATGTAAATCTATTTCTCCCGCAAGAGTAGTTATCTCATATGAGTCTTGTTGGCTTCCCAATAGATTTGGTATCAGTGACATATATGTCATGACAACCACTTCATCCAACAAAGGGATGGATGCAACAGACTTGGGTTGTATGGTTTACAAGAAGTAACTATTGTATTTAAAATATTGGCATATGCTACATTAAAATAAGAGGATCCATGACATAGTGCAGATGTTTGGAGACTGTTATTTATGAACATCCAATCCTAATGATATGGCATGATCCTCCAAATTGGAGAACAACGAGTTTTTTTAGGAATGGTAAGTAGTTTAGACTGTATGCCGCGAAAATGAAAGAATTGTCCAATGGGTTTGGGAGGATAATATTCCGGACATAGAAGATCCCCAACTATTATTCTGGAAGTTGTAGCTGACTATGATTTTTGGATAATGACACACACTTTTTGGTCTATCGGCAGGGCCGATATTGACATTTTGAAGGCCCTATGTAAAAAACTAAACATTAATCCCAACAAAACTCATTAAAGCCCAATACAGCCCCGTTAAAGCTCAAAAACCCCAATTAAGGCCCAATAGAATAGATTAAATCCCAACAAAACCAATTAAAGACTAATAAAACTAATTAAGGCCCAATAACGCCAATTAAGACCTTATACAACCTATTAAGACCCAAGAAAACCTATTAAGACTTAATAAAACCGATCAAAGCCCAATAAAACTGATTAAAACCCAATAAAACCTACTACAGCCTATTAAGAACCATTATAGTCCAATAAGACCCTTTATGATTTGTTAAAGCCCAATAACACTAATGGTGACTTACTATGTATTTGTATTTAAGTATGCACTACATATATGTATGTGTCGTGATTTGGAGCTCGATAAGACCCACTGTAGCCTATTAAGAACCACAAAAGTCTGTTATGAATCATTATAGCCCAATAGGACTCTTTATGACTTACTAAAGCCAAATAACCTAATGGTGAATTATTACGTGTTTTTGTTGGTCCTGTAAGGGTCTACAAGAATAGAAACAGTTTGTAGAAGGGGGGATGAATACAAACACAATATTTTCAAATTTAAAAATATATATTGATAGAGAAGATCAATACAGATTTTACAAGACTGTTTGCGGAAAGATAAGGTAAAGAAAACCTATCTAAACAATCTTTGGTTACGCACAGATCTTTAGCAATTACAAGAAAAGAGATTGCTAAAAAGAAGATCTTTTACTTAAGCTAGAAGATGCTTGAAGTAAGAAGAGGATTGCAGAGAGATGCATGCACTCTACAAAGAGAATAAACACTTCTATTTATACCCAGTGCATTAAATGAACATTTAATGCAATATGGTAGGTTTAGAGTGTGTGGCAAGCCTTAAGAGGAAGACTTGTCCTTTGCTACAGTGAATAGTACAAAAGCACTATTCTTGAGCAGACATTCTTGCCTAAAGTTGGTGGACAAAGAGTCGACTAATCGGCTCCGTATCGTACTAACTTTTGCAAGGGTATGGGTTTGTCCTTTGTGTGCAAAAGGACAAGACAACAACAATCATGCTAAGCAAGCTTCTTTTGATCGCTGAATGCTGGGATGACCTGGAGGTCTCATCATCATTCGCTGAAGCTAGAGCAGTCTTCACACATATGTAGACAGGTTTGTAATCACTGAATACCGCTTTAGATCACGTACTCGCCAGTCTCTAATCTTCAGTTTCAGTCTTCAATGTTCGCTGAAGGATCTTTGGTGTGAGTGTTGTCTTCTTGAAGTATTGTTTGTCTCTGATGAATTTACAATGCAAGTTCTTCAGCGATCACTGAACATACTCAGTGATGATCGCTGGAACTGAAAATACAGAGACACAAATACAACGTGAAAGGAAAAAGGGATTATCATCATATCACTGAGAGAGAGGATCAACAGTTTTGTATGCAGGCATATACTGCATATATGTATATGTTGTGTATTGGGCTCGATAAGAGCAATAATACTCACTATAACCTATTAAGACCTGTTAAAGCCCAATAATACCGACCAAAGTCAGTTTAAGACATTTTATTAATTATTAAACCCCACTAACAACGGTTGAAACATCCGTATACGTATACATATAAGTATATATTTGTAATTGATATATGTATGTGGTATGTATTTAAGTATATTACATATATATAAATACTGAAGATGTAAAACAAAATGAGAATAAGTATTTACGGATAGAAAAAACAAAAAAATGACCAAAAATGGAATTCTAATTAAAAATCAGCCTCAAATCCGCCACTATTTTAAATAATCTTGATTTTTGTAAAAACTACATATTTTTTTAATTATTTAAAATTAGCAGCAGATTGTCGCAGATTTAATTAATTAATTAAAATTCGCTACAAATCCACCACTAATTTTAATTAATTAATTAAATTTTTTAAAATTAGACAATTTTGCGGCGATAAATAATTAAAAAGTCCGTCAAAAATTTGCTACAAATATCATAGAAATTCATTTTAGAGTTCTTAAAAAAATCAGTGGTAGATTTATAGCAGGAAAACGAAAAGTTTACTTTTTCTATCCCAGGAAATCCGCTAGTGATATTCTAGCAAATAAATGTCCACGGATGAAAGTGTAATGTTTAGTAGTATTGCATGCTTAAAGAACACCTTTAGTTTTTACAAGAGCCCACACATTTGATTTTCCCCCAAAACAAAAGTAATAAATTCATCTCAAATATCTTGTCTATTATTTTGTCAATATTGCACATCTCAATACCTAATTCTTCTATATCAGAGCCGTTTATCAAACTCTTACTCAGGTAAGTGTTTGTCGGCAAAATTCAACACTATCATTTACTAGGTAAGATTTTAGTCCACCCAAATGGTATCATATGTAACAATTCAAGCGGTAAGCACTGACCTTGGTAAGAGTCGTCGCTCTCACTTACCAGGTAAGACTCTTGGTTCTTGCCTTCGTTCTTACGGGATAAGATTCTTGGTGTTTGCATATTCATGCAGTAAGGTAATATGGCTTGGTAAACGCTAATCCTAATAAACATTCCCTAAATCTACTCAATATCTTGTTATTTTAACTTTAATGTAAACTCGTTTATCATATATTAACTCTTCTATATGCTCAAAGCCTCAAACCAATCATCTAAAAATAAAATATATAAAAATATGATATAAATTGCTATTCGATTTAATCAAAATTATAAAAGAACAACTGAAACCCCACCTAATAAAAGTATTCTTATTCGGTTAACTGAACTTTTAAACCAAAAACTAAATAACCCTAAACCATTTTGGTTCAAGTGGACTATTCAATTTCGGAAATTTTTTGGCATTTAAGGGGCTGCTTAATTACTAAATGCTTACCTAGTAAGTAGATTGGATGAACATGACAAAATTGAAAATCTTACCTATAAGAGCGATGACAAAGATAGTCTTACCTGATAAGTGAGAGTGATGACTCTTATCCGCTACACGTTTACCGGATAAAAATGTTGTATACGATGTTGTTCTAATAAACTAAAATCTTACCCTGTATATTGAATACAAGTGTTAACTTTTACTGATAAACATTCCCAAATAAATATTAGACACTGAATCACAAATGAATTGGTATGGTTCCTCTACGTCTAGGACATCAGAAAAATATCGAACTAGTCATCCGGACCTGGTCACTGTACCAAACCCGGTGACTGTTTACCAACTTATATCCATACAAGACAGGGATAACGATTCTTATGATAAACCACCCTTTTACCAACAGATATTCCAAAGAAAATTCTGCAGAAAAATCTTTCGTTTTATAGGAAGATAAACTGAAACCATGCATCTGCTTTTGAAAACTAACGCTTTTAACGGTGACAACCAAGTTTACCAAGCCAGAAAGATAGGAACGCTGCTAGACAGTGACTAATCAAGTGCGTGTCCTTATCTAACAGCTTAAGTATCTCCCCATTTGCCACGTCATTTTACCTGGTCCTATGACGTGTCAATCCTACATGTATCTGCTCTTCAGTTCTCAACTTATATATACCACATCCTCTTCAGTCAATACCCAACTGCAAAACTCGCACTTAGTTTTCTGAAACACAATAAAAAAGCAACAGAAAAAACATGGCATCAGGTCAAGCAAAGAGATCAGATTTGGACGCTAGAGCCAAGCAAGGCGAAACCGTCGTCCCTGGCGGCACCGGCGGTAAAAGCTTGGAAGCTCAAGAGCATCTTGCTGAAGGTTTAATAACTTTGCATTTTGCAGACAAAAAAATGGTTTTTTTTTCTTTCTATAATTATGTTTCATTTTGTGGTGTAATGTTGGTTTAAGACTCATAATTATGTTTCGTTTTATATGACGAATTCTGATCAGGGAGGAGCAAGGGCGGGCAGACTCGGAAAGACCAGCTGGGCACCGAAGGGTATCAGGAGATGGGCAGCAAGGGCGGGCAGACTCGAAAGGAGCAGCTGGGCACGGAAGGGTATCAGGAGATGGGCAGCAAGGGCGGGCAGACTCGAAAGGAGCAGCTGGGAAGTGAAGGATATCAGGAGATGGGCAGCAAGGGTGGGCAGACTCGAAAGGAGCAGATGGGGAGTGAAGGGTACAAGGAAATGGGACGTAAAGGTGGTTTGAGCACTGGCGACAAGTCCGGTCAAGAGCGTGTTGAGGAAGAAGGGATTGAAATTGATGAGTCCAAGTATCGAACCAAGACCTGATATGTTGTGTAACAGTGGTGGATGGAGACTATAAAGATGGATAGCTAACAGTAGTTACTGCGGACTATATATATATATGTTGTGTGTGTATGTATATGTTCTTGAATGTGGTTTGTTGTTTGTAGGTTTTGTATGGTGCACCTTTTTGCTGTGGTAGTAGTTATGAAGATGTTTTTGTTAGACTGGTTTTGCTCAATTATGTTGATTACTTGTGAGAAAACCCTTTTGTTTGCAAACTCCCCCTCTCTATCTTGGGAAATGAGGATATGGCTTATCCATTGTGTCTGAAATCCTTATCTACGTATGTATATTAACTATATGTATAGAGCACCAATATATATATATATATATATATATATATATATATATATATATAGTTCTAATCGTTAAACTATAGAGATATATAATACATCACAAATACATGGATCAACGATCATAGCTCTCGATTAGATCATCTTCATTGTAGTTTCTTCTTTTCCAAGTATTGTACCAAACAACATCGATGGTGAATTTATCGCTCGTGGTTTTTCTCGTTTTGGATTTCCACATAAATCCAGTGTCGTTTTCTCTTCATACTGTTGAGTGTTCGAATTTATCGTTTCCTCATACAAACCATACGGTTAGTTCGTTTTTGATCTTGGGTTGATTTTGATCAATTTTGTACTCGATTCGGTCTAAAACGGATTGGAACGTGTTTCATGTTTTGTTTGATTCTCTTGTCATCTTGATGCTAATTTATGAAGAAAATATTGTTCTTGCGTTGCTGGGTGTAACATATATACGTAGGGTGTAAATGATACAAGACAACTTGCGAGCTACTTGAGGTCGACTCGGTCAACACTCGACTCGAATAGGCTCGGCTCAAACTCGAGCTCGACTCGATATATTAACGAGTCGAGTCAAGCTAACCAATACTCGACTCGAAAAGCTCGTGAGATACTCGATTATTTTATATATAATTAGCTTTAAAATATAATCAGTTTTTATAATAAAATTTGTAAAATTTAAATAATAAAAATATCTTATATTTTTAGATATTTAAATAAAATTATGCATTTTTTAATTATAAAACTTAATCACTTACTTCTTATTAAAATCAAAATTAAAAAAAAAAGACAAAGTTAACTATAAAAAAAATTAGTGAAATTGTTCCACATTGGAAGAAAGATGGTAAAAGAAGAAAGAAAAAATGTTATAAAAAGAGAGTGAGGCGAATGAAATTTTTAAGTTTGTTTTTTTGATGATGAAATTTGAAGTTGATCCTTTAGTTTTATAAAAACTAAGAGAACACCTTTAAGTTTTAAAATTTATAAGAGATAAACCTTAAATTTTCATAAATTTCAATGGGTGAGCTTGGTTCGAGCTTGGTTCGAGCTTAGTTCGAGCTTGATTCGAGTTCGAGCTTGAGAAATAATTATCGAGTTCGAGTCAAGCTTTGATTTTTACTACTCGCGAGTTTTCGAGACGAGTTCGAGCTTGGAAATTGAGTTTCGAGTTCGAGTCGAGTATAGTGATACTCGAGCTTGACTCACATCATTTACACCCCTACATATATCATATATGTGAATCATGTATCAACTCTGAAGTACTTCGACTGACACGTGGGTCTATTTATGTGTAAATCACACGAAAGATACTCCAAAAATGTCATTAGCAGTTTTGATGCTTTTTAAAAGTGATTTATGTCGTTCTAAAAAAACTGAGATCTTCCATGAAAGCTAAATCGAGCCTAGGCCTGTAAAGGAATCGAACAAACACGAATGGAGGCTTGTTTGTGTTTGTTCATATAATTTAACTGAATGAACACGAACAGTAAATGAACAAAATTTTTTATGTTTATTTTTGTTCGTTAAAAAAATATGCTTGTTCATCGATTGTTAGATGCTAAATGAACGTAAGCAAACAAACATAAATGAACACAAATAAACATAATTGAAATAACACATGAACAAAAAATAAGCCACCATTACTCGATCATTTCGTTCCTCAAAAATAACATAACAAAACGATGATTTATAAGCTAACCTATAATGGTAAAAAATCATGTTCTCGAAACTTTTTTAGGAGAGAAAGAAAAGGAAACACAAGAAAAATAATTATAAGTTTCCTTCCAAAACTTTCCTTACTTACGTGGGAGGATAGGAAAGTAAAGGAAGAAAACTAGAACCTTGTAAAAGATTATTTAAATTACAAAACTACTCAACTCTTTCATAATAAAAAAACATATTTTTAAAGGGTATATTTGTAAAAATGACATTTTTCTTTTTCTTTCTCGGCTGTTCAAGAACATAATTTATTTCCTATTCCTTTCCTCTCGAGAACACAGAGAATTCTTTTTGCTTTTCTTTCTTTTTCCCTTCCTTTTCTTTTCTTTTTTCTCTTTGAATTCGAGAACACAACATTAAAAATTACTGAATGCAAAATTTCTTATTGGGGTTCCAATCAAATATGTCTACCAATAAATACAAATTTTATTGGTCTACAAGATAACTCTACTTTATTTTGTATTGTGGGATATATATATTTAGACACAGACTAATAGGAAAATACGTAGGTAATGTTTATTTTTGAAGATGTAATAAATTCTGAAGTCTTATTTTACTTCTGCTTGATAAATTAAGAGAGATGTTGTCTAGAATCTGAATCAATAAGACTATTTGTTTTTGTAGACTGATAAATGATTGAATTTGTTTAAATTATGTATTTTAACGTTAGAAAATTTTAGTGGTAAATTTATAAAATTTCACACACACACACACACACACACACACATATATATATATATATATATCACAATTACGAAATTTACGTCTAGATTATATATAAATTTACATCTAGATTATATAATTAAGATTCATTTAAATGGAAATATGTTATTGACGGTATTTGACACATGTAAATACTATTAAGATACATCAACTGAAAGAGGTGATGATCGATTTGGTAAGGAACAACTGAGAGAAGGGATTGATTAAGGTTTAATCGATTGTGAAACGCCGTTACTGAAGGTCTGGAGAACAATAAGAGGCAAATAGGAGGTTGATTTACCTCTTATCAGATAAGAGGGCAATAAGACATATGTGCATCCAAAGAATTGAAAAAACACAAACAATATCTGAATGACCCTACCTTTTATCGAATCAGACATAAAAGACTAATAAAAGTATTTTTCTAAAAATAAACAAGGCGTTAACGAATAACGGAAACAAATGACATAAGGAGTGGTGGTGTTCCTTTTTATAGAGGGTGTTACAAGAAATTATTGATTCATTTGTAACTTAGGGCATTGAGCATGCCATATTTACCAACAAGAAGCATACCATTTCTTTTGAGTAGGAGTACAATTGAGCTTGTGAGCCATCTTAACTAATCCCGTAAGCATAACAGTAATGAAAATCCTCACTGAACCAGAGAGAGACTAAAGTTGACAACCTATGACGAAGAGCAACACGACCTATGGTTAAGCTCACCCTCACTGAAAAATGTAGCACAATCTAGTTTCAGAATGGCCCAAGGAAATATGGATTGTTGAGAAGCAACTTGTATCAGCTAGTCATGAATTCTTTTAACCAAGCACCAGATGAATTTGTGTAGGTTGAAAAGATGATTAAAAAAAATATTTGAAATGGTTAATTAATACTTTTTTATTCCCCTCAAGAGCCTTGTCCCCCCTTATTAGAACCACAATTGATCAAAATCTTATTTATATACATCATTATTCACATGCAACATCTGAAGTCTACATAATCTTTATGACCATAGCGGAATTTTTCTCTCTCGATTGTTAATTGAAGCATGACCACAATAGGTTAGAGATGGGTCGAGGAATCACCAATAGTAAACCATTTCAATAGGTACCCATCGATGTCGTCAGATACTTTTATGGGGATATAACATAGTTGAAAGGGTACCTACTTAATGCATTTAATTGTAGTACATCAATTATTAGATAGCAAGAAAACTTTGCTTGATGATATTGAAAAGTAGGAACACACGCAAGTATAAATGTAACATTTAATTGTAGCACATCAATTGTAACATTTAATTAATATTATAAATGTCTAAGTGTTTGTTTCTAGATAAAAGGTCTAGAGATCTGGAGAAGAAGGTTCAGAGTTCGGAAGCTGAGAAGATTTTCTAAGTATGTAAGTCTGGATGTGAAGGTCCAAAGCTCAAATATGGAAGACTTCAGAGATCTGGACTAGTAGACTCGGAGTTCGGATGGAAACTCTGCTTAGGCTCATTTTACTTTGAGTTCATCTAACTCTTCAAATGTCTACATCACCTTCAAAGACTGAAATGCGGATTACAAAAATACATTGATCAACAAATCAGATAAAAACACATATTAAAGTTGGACAACAACATTTAATATATTGATGGCTATAAAAGTTATTCTTGTCATATGTTGCAACTCACCTGTTACGAAAAGGAATTCTGAGTGGTAGTTTCTCAACATTCTTTTGAAGGACTATTTCAGTAGTTCAGATCTCAAAAGGCACCTTCTTCTCTTACTCTTTAGTCATTAGCAAACTTTTCACAAGCCAACTTGTTTCGGATCAGGTAAACTTCTGCAACAAATTTGTAATTATTTGTATTTTAATAAATATACATAATAAAAAGTGAACATATGCTATGTCTATATTCAATCCCCTCCTACAAAAACTTATTGTGTTAGGGGCCGTTTACTAAACTCTTACCCTGGTAAGCGCTTACCAAGTAACATTACCTCACCGGATGAATATGGTAAGGACCAAGAATCCTACCCGGTAAGAGCGAGACAAAGACCAAGAGTCTTACTCGGTAAGTGAGGGAGAAAACTCTTAGTCTCTTACCATGGTAAGCGCTTACCGGGTAAATTGTTTCATACTATGTCATTTTGGTGAACTAAAATCTTACTCGGTAAGTAAATAATAGTGTTAAATTTTACCGGTAAGTACTTACTGTGCAAGTGTTTGGTAAACGGTCCCTTAGTCATTACCTATTCAAGGACTAACAATTGATATCAAAGATGTTTGTTTAATCTATAAACCAGATTTGTGACTTTCACAAATAATCCACAAATAGTACATTG